TTATGACCAATTTACTACTGACTGTTTAGTGAAAACCAAGTTGATATCATATCTTTTCAATCAGAATGTGATGGTTTGATAGCAAGACAGATTCCATATTAGAGGCAACATATAATATATCAAATTAAAGTCATATCTGTCTAGTTTTCAATGCTTAAATGTTTTCATCAATTGAACTTTTAGTGCGTAAGTTATGGTTAATTTACCACTAACTGTTCAGTGAAAATCGAGAAACAGAATAGTTAGATGTCGAACTACTGATCAGATGCCAAACCAAATGGTTCAACATCCGACTTTATCTCTAATAGGTTGCTTTCTCGCTTTTTTTGGTTCATCCAAGGATGCCAAACACCGCAAACTCAGACATAGGGTTCACTCTTAAATCAAAATTAAGATGAATGGTTCGACATTCATCTAAAGGAGATAGTCAGATGTCGAACCATTCATCAGATGTTGAATCATCTAGTTCGACAGCTAACTTAAATCAAAATTAAAGAAGATACACAATTTGAAGATAAACTTAAGAACAACATAACTAAATTAAGATGCTCGACATCTGACATCATTAAATGAATTATGATGAATGGTTCGGCATATAATTTTCCTTATAGTTGGGGTTATTGTCAATGTTCGACATTCAATTATACGATTCAAATTTCACAATTGACAATGACATGGTAAAGCAACACAATACTTAAGACATATATCATAATAATAATCATCATAATACCATTCATAAAAGTAAATTACCAAATATGTTCAACAGAGACTTTTGAAATAACCAAAAATAACAAAACCAAAAGAGAGTATGTTAGAAACATAGCATATCATTACAAACCATCCATGGCTTGCATACCAATGATATATATATAAGTATTATATATTATATATTTGAAAGGGGTCTTTGTCCTGGCAATAACCAAGCGAACAACCACACACAACCTCCTCCATCCTTAAGCAGTAGCCCTTCCGACCTTTCGTTTCCATGATTTCTTTATGTTTAATCATGTAGAGCTGCTCCATTACAAAGTCCATGCGACATAATGGTATTAAGCTTGCTTTGCAGAGACATCATGCAGTTGCCCCTAATAAAAAAAATACATAGGATGATATACAAAAAAAAGGAAACTATTAGAAATGAACTCCAATTGTAGACAAACATTGTGTAAACCCAACCGATCAAGACAAAGCAAATACATAAGACAAAAAAAAAATAAATAAATAATATATACTTCTTGAATCTTTAAAAGAGATGTTTACATGGAGGTTATTTATTTATTCTCTTGAAGAATTTCCTGTTCCACTTCCTTTGCAACAACCAAAAACTCTCCTCTAGTTAGAACATAAATAATACCCATGACGAAATTCATGATATCTTCAATTTTTGTCTTGTAGCATTTAGATCGTCTAAGTTGGTGCTAACATTTTGTAGAATGTACATATTTCAACTCCAACTGTCTGTCAGGTATTGCCGAAGCAACTGTGAAAAACAAACAACGAAATTTTATTAATTTATGAAAGCTCTACAAATACAAAGTTCCTTATAGATGTATAAAAATAAACATAACATAACGGGTTAAATGTTCATTATCGTTTGCTCTGGCATTGTTTGGTTATGAGTCGTTTAAATGTGATGTTCTATCAGTCATTGCGAAATCAACAGGGGAAACAAATAGAATCAATGAAAATCTACAACTTTATAAATGCAATACAAATACAAACTTCCTTATCCTTATGTAGAAATAAACATCAAAGGACGGTTTAAATGACAATAGAAAATAAATAGTTGAAAAACCAACAGATATCTCTTAATAAGTAAACACACTCATTCAAGAAGGTAAAAAACTCTTCGAATACAATGGAAGGAAATGACAATAGTTAGTCATTAAATAAAAAAGTTAAAAATACACATTGGAGTCGGTGTGTTTATAAATATACATAGATAATTAAGGGATTAAACACATCTAACAAACTTTGGGATTCCCAAACAATTAATTATAATTACTATTCAATATCATATCTATATATCTATATCTATCTGTCTATTTCATGCATCAGCGATAGGACTGTTATAGTTTGCTGAACAATTTGATGTTTATGACATCAAGAAACCTTACCATTTAGATTTTTTAGATTTTATTAGAAGTTTTATTTTCATTTAAGTTTTGGTAGTAAGCCCAATTTTTTCTTTAATTTAAGTTACGGTTTGACATTTGGCTTATTACAATTAAAAATGGTTTAGTATGTTTTTTGAATATGTAATAGTATTGGTGATTATTAGATTTTTTGTCATTGTTCAACATATTTCAAATGATTTAGCATATTCCAATGGTTCCGCCAATGGCTTATATTACTGGGGATGTGTTATTGAACAATACAGTTTACAATGGAAGGACACCGTGTTGTGATCGTAAAGTAGACCTTTGAGATGTCACAATTTGATATTATATCTTTTCAACCAAAATGTGAAGGGTCTACAGTTATCCAAATTCAATATATAATATATCAAATTAAATTATTGTTTGTCTAGTTTCCAATGCTTCAATTCATTTATCAATTGAACTTTTATTAAACAAGTTATGACCAATTTACTACTCACTGTCTAGTAGAAACCAAGTTGATATCATATCTTTTCGACCAGAATGTGATGGTTCGATAGCAAGACAAATTCCATATTAAAGGCAACATATAATATATCAAATTAAAGTCTTGTCTGTCTAGTTTTCAATGCTTAAATGTGTTTATCAATTGGACTTTTATTAAGCAAGTTATGGTCAATTTACTACTAGTTGTTCAGTGGAAACCGAGAAACATAATAGATAGATGTCGAACCATTCATCAGATGCCGAACCAAATGGTTCGACATCCGACTTTATCTCTAATGGGTTGCTTTCTCGCTTTTTTTGGTTCATCCAAAGATGTCAAACACCGCAAACTCAGACATAGGGTTCACTCTTAAATCAAAATTAAGATGAATGGTTCGACATTCATCTAAAGGAGATAATCAGATGTCGAACCATTCATCAAATGTCGAACCATCTGGTTCAGCAGCTAACTTAAATCAAAATTAAAAAAAGATACACAGTTTGAAGATAAACTTAAGAACAACATAACTAAATTAAGATGTTCGGCATCTGACAACATTAAATGAATTATGATGAGTGGTTTGGCATATAATTTTCCTTATAGTTGGTGTTATTGTCAATGTTCGGCATACAATTATACGATTCAAATTTCATAACTGATAATGAGATGGTAAAACAACACAATACTTAAAACATATATCATAACAATAATCATCATAATACCATTCGTAAAAGTAAATTACCAAATATGTTCAACAGAGACTTATGACATAACCAAAAATAACAAAATCAAAAGAGAGTATGTTAGAAACATAACATATCATTACAAATCATCCATGGCTTGCATACCAATGATATATATAATATTATATATTATATATCTAAAAGGGGTCTTTGTCCCGTCAATAACGAAGCGAACAACCACACACAACCTCCTCCATCCTTAAGTACTAAACCTTTCGTTTCCATGATTTCTTTATGTTTGATCATGTAGAGCTGCTCCATCACAAAGTGCATGTGACATAATGGTATTAAGCTTTCTTTGCAAAGACATCATATTGCAGTTGTCCCGAATAAAAAAAAATTATATAAGATGATATACAACAAAAAGGAAACTATTAGAAATGAACTCCAATTGTAGACAAACATTGTGTAAACCCAACCCACAAAGCAAATACATAAGACAAAAAATAAATAAATAAAGTTGTAGGATTAAAGAAGAGTGCAATAATTTAAACCTCAATTGAACTTTGAAAAACTTTTGGAACACACACACACAATATATATATATATATAATTTAATTAGACCTTTGGGATGCCCAATAAAGTATAAATGGTGGAATTGTATCATATCACATAAATATATATAGATATTTAATGTGAATGTGAAGGGATTAAACACATCCACCAAACATCAATCTATATATCTTCTTATTTGAAGTAGACATTTGGAATGTCACTATTTGATATCATATATTTTCAACCAGAATGTGAAGGGTCTACAATTATTTAAATTCAACATATAATATATCAAATTAAAGTCATGTTTGTCTAGTTTCTAGTGCTTCAATCCGTTCATCTATTTGATTTTTATTGAGCAAGTTATGACCAATTTATTATTGACTGTTTAATTAATATGTGTCATTAATACTAAAAAATATGAAACACCAATTACATTAAGCCACATATAACCAAAAATCATACTCATCCACATATCCCACGTCATCACCAATCATATGCAACCAAATGTACATATCCTACATTATCACCAATCATATGTAGCCATTTGTCGAACAATCATCCAACATGTCAAAATCCACCAATTTTAGAGCTTTAAAAATCCTACTTGGCAAACAAATAGGGTATGTCTCAGGATTATATCAATATATACAGAATATAGATATAGATTTTCCAATATGCGATATCATCAAAATTTCCAATATGCTTATCTGACAGGGGAATCTGTGGGACTTTTGGTTATTTTTGTATGGGCTTTCTTCTTTTTATAGCCNATCATATGTAGCCATTTGTCGAACAATCATCCAACATGTCAAAATCCACCAATTTTAGAGCTTTAAAAATCCTACTTGGCAAACAAATAGGGTATGTCTCAGGATTATATCAATATATACAGAATATAGATATAGATTTTCCAATATGCGATATCATCAAAATTTCCAATATGCTTATCTGACAGGGGAATCTGTGGGACTTTTGGTTATTTTTGTATGGGCTTTCTTCTTTTTATAGCCCAAGCAAGACAACCTTTATCAGGCCCAGCCTATTTATATTTTATAAGGCCCACAGAATATTCCAGCCCAACCGTGCCAGCTTATGAATGGCTTGGGCTTTATTGTAGTAAAGACAATTCCGTTTTTCTCTGTTGAGTGTTTTTCAGTTAATTCTGTTTATTGTTTAGTTAACCTGTACGTTGTCGTTTCAATCTGAAAAACAAGGACCACACTGTTCATTCCTCCCTCTCTCTTCAGTCTTCATTCTCTCAAGACTCTACTCTGTACCCGAAATTAACCCTCCAAATTACCTGCAAAACCCTAATTCGCCAATCCTTTTACATTAAACCTTAATTTGATTGAGTCAACTCAATCTGAGTCAAATGGACACGCACTCCTCTCACCTTACTGTGCAGAACCGCTCGCGGAGCTCACAAACGCCGTCCCCGTCCCACTCGGCCTCCGCATCCGCCACGTCGTCGATTCACAAGCGCAAATTAGCAGCGACAGCGGCGGCGGCCGCGTCTGAGGACCACGGACCACCGACATTCCCTGCCTCCTTCTCTGCCGACACTCGTGACGGCGCCTTGACGTCTAACGACGACCTCGAGAGCATCTCCGCCCGCGGGGCCGACTCCGACGCTGACGACTCGGAGGACGCCGTGGTTGACGACGATGAGGACGAGTTCGACAACGACAACGAGTCCTCCATGCGAACCTTCACCACGGCTCGGCTCGAGAACAATAATTCCGTTGGCTCCGTGCGGAACACAAAGCTGAAGACGGAACCCGTGACGGTTAAACTTGAGAATCCGGATGGCGGGAAGGAAACTGGTCCCATAGGGAGTACCGTCTTGGGGTCCACTGGTGGGACCGGTGGCTCGGTGCCGGGAATTGTGGTTAAAGAAGATTCAGTGAAGATATTTACAGAGAATATACAAGCTAGTGGTGCTTATAGTGCTCGAGAAGAAAGCTTGAAGCGAGAGGTACAATTTTGCAATTTAATTATTATAATTTGTTTTTTTACATTGATTATATTATAATTGTGCTGGAGCTTGGAGATCATGCTTTTAATTGTGTTATTGGGAATGTTTCAGGAAGAAGCTGGAAGGCTCAAGTTTGTGTGCCTCGGGAACGATGGTGTTGATGATCATATGGTTTGGTATCTCTTTCTCTCTTTCTCTCATCCTGAACCTTCATGTTTCTGAACTTCTTTTTTCTTATGTGTGGTCATTTGAATTTTGCTATTGTGCATTTTCTGTTCGTTTATGTGATTAATAGGCTTAATTTTCTCAGGTTGATAGGATTAAAGAATATCTTTGCGAGGCAGCTACCCAACATGCCTAAGGAGTACATTGTCCGTCTTGTGATGGATAGGTAATATCATGAAAACTTCTAATCTAAAAGAAATTAGTTCCCAGTTTTAGTTCTAAAAAAATAAAATAAGAAATCTCTAATTGGTAGCAGCAAATTTAGTGAAAGCTCACTATTCAAATATGGAAAGGAAACCTTTCGACCCTGTCAGACAGTGTTTGATAGTAGTAGACGTTGAATCAAGCCTAAGATATTATGATCTGTTGATTAGAATGGTTAAATGTAGTACAGGAAAAATAGTATCTCCACCGTGGTACATGTTAATACACTGGACGACACATCAGTGCACCTAAAGACCACTTATTTTCAATCATAATAGACTTTCTGATGCATTGATTGAGGTTTAGCACATATGTCAGAGTCATATCAGCTTGGAGTAATTTTCTCAGCAGTCTTTGTTCTTTAATGAGAGGACTTCATCCCTAACTTCCGTGAGTTGAGATTGCATGGAATATATATTGCTCTTCGATTGCTCGAAGTTTGATTGCAAAACCTCATATGAGAGGACTTTATATGTTGATTTTAAGCATCCATGCACATTTGAGATTTAGATTCATATTGTTTCACACATTGCAGAAGCTAGGATCAATATATTGTCAAATACTGATGGTGCTGTTTTATATTAAATGACCTCTAAGGTCTCACTAGTAATGTAATATCATTGTTGTCTTTTATTGTTCCTTCTTTTATATGCTTTCTGAATAGAGGTGCTTTTCATATTTTATATGCAGAAGCCACAAGTCGGTTATGGTTATCAGACATAATCAGGTTGTTGGTGGCATCACATATCGCCCATACTCCAGGTTTGTATTTATGATATTTTTTGGTTCCTTTTTTAAACATCATTGAATGAACTGTCGTATCATTATGTATTCTCACTCAGAGCCAGGTAAACCAATCCACTTAATCTGTTTGATGTGTCATCACTTTACCTTCCTAAACTGCTGGAAGCATTCTGTCAACTTCATGTGTGTTTTGTGACCATGAGTCAATACTTTGGTCTTGGTTTAGCAAGAGCAGCTAAATAAACTTCTCTACTGTTTCATTTTGTCCTACTGATGCCATTTCTACTTTTAATTAACTTTAAATAACTGGTGCTTCACCTTAATTCATAGTGTAGGATGACATTTGAAGGAATTGAATAATATTTATTGAGCGAGGTCACAGTTTCATTCATATGGTGCTTTCTTTGCCCTCTGACTAACACCCTTGTTCTGGAAAAACACAGCCAAAGGTTTGGGGAGATAGCTTTTTGTGCAATCACAGCTGATGAACAAGTAAAAGGTTATGGGACCAGATTGATGAACCATTTAAAGCAGCATGCACGTGATATTGATGGGCTAACACATTTTCTAACATATGCTGATAATAATGCTGTTGGTTATTTTATTAAACAGGTCTGTTTATTCACTTTTGATGTAGTTGTAAAATTAAGGGTTTTTGTTGTTTGGTTTAGCATAAACTGATGGTGGGATGATTAGTTCTATATATACTACACAACTCTAGTGAAATCATGATAGTTTCTTTGCTAGGAAAATTTCTAGTGGGTGGCTAATATTAAGTATAAAACTGTGACATCTTTTTTTTCTTTGAAAAGGTTCTATCTATGTAGTGGTGTAAATTATCAAGTAAAAAACTTGTTTTGATAATACTCTTTTATTTTTTTATTCTTTTTGGTTTTTTGAGAGACTTAAACATCTTAAATTGCATTTGGATATTTTTTCTGGTGCATTAATGTAGAAGGCTCTTACTAATGAGTTAATATATAGACTGGAGGTTGAAAATGAGGCAATGAATTGGTATCTCAAATTAAGTTAAATAATTTAAAAAAAAAAAAAAAAAAGAATCTTTGTAATTTGACCAGCCTAATATGTAGAGCAAGTTAGCATTGTAAAACATCTTTTTCTTACAAAAAATATTTAAATGACAAAGGCACAGTCAGTTTTATGTAACCACTGAGGAACAATTTTTGGTTTCATTACTAATAGATTCAAGTTTATGGACTCTTTTAATTGTTGGATTTTACCATGCTATGATGGAGACCTGGCTCTGGAAATTGTGGAGTTATGTTGGAATTAGTTGTTCTGCCATCAATTTTCCCGATCTTTCATTCTATATTCTCCTACATATTAGTCTGTTCTGAATGGATGTAGTTTAAATAACTCATGAGATCCGTTAATTTTTGCAGGGTTTTACCAAAGAGATTTTCTTGGAGAAAGACCGATGGCAAGGGTATGCTTAATATGGAACTATACATAGTTTTATCTTTTCTGATTGAATGTTATTACTACTTAGCGCATTTTTTGTTTCTCTGATGGAAAGATTAGGCAAAGATAAAATGTATAAAGTTTGAGGTTTTAGGCTAATGGTCCTTCACAGGAGTTATAATGGCCCTTCATAGGACTACCATAGGTGTCTTTCAAAATCTCTTTATTTTCTTATTATAAGGACCCTTTTAAGCTGTTTCATAGAATTTGATTTGTTCTTATTTTATGTGCTTTCAGACTGTACATAAAAATTTCATTGTTGTTTCCAGGTATATTAAGGATTATGATGGAGGAATCCTTATGGAATGTAAAATTGATCCAAAGCTTCCATACACTGATTTATCAACTATGGTCCGCCGTCAAAGGCAGGTAAGGTGAAAGTATACTTGACTAATAAAATTTTTATTATTAATTAAAAAATATTTGAACATTTTCTTGTCTTAAACAAAGACTTGCTATGGAAGTCAAAGAATCCAAACATCAGTGTATCTCCCTACATGTTTTATTCCAAAATAATTTTGCTGGAAAAGCATATGAGCCTCAGATATTTGACAATGTATTTGCTGCACTCTTATCTTGAAATTTCATATTGAATTTTTACACAATTTTAAAATTAATATTTAAAAGAATCCCTTTCCATTTTTGGGTACCATCTTTGTGAATTCACTATAATCTGTCTTTTTCTTTTCTTCTTTTTATTATGATAGGCAATTGATGAGAAGATAAGAGAGCTCTCAAATTGTCATATTGTTTACCAAGGAATTGATTTTCAGAAGGTATGTGGCACCTTTAAGAATATGCTATTAATTTAATGGATGACAGTGAATTTATTTAAAAGTTCATTGGTGCTCCTCCTTTCCTTCGGAGTTTTGGGTATTATACAAAAATATGTATCTATGATTACTTTGTATTTTGTTCTGATTAAGAATATCTTTCATTCAGAAAGAAGCTGGTATCCCTAAAAAGATTATCAAAGTTGAGGATATTCCGGGTTTGAGTAAGTTCTTTGACACCCCAAAGATGTTTAATCTTAGAATATATGATATAACCTAATGGAATGTAATCACATTTGATAATTTTTTAAGAGCAACTCCTTTTTGACCTTTTATTGGATGTGCTGTGTGTCTAAGTTTCCCATATCGTTTGTTTGATAGAGAATTGAATGGATCTCATGGTCATATGCAGCCTCTTGTACTGGGGCTGTACCTCTTTTGGTTGTTTTACTTTGTTATTATTACCTTTCTAAAAAGTGTTTTTGACAGTTTCGAAGTTAAGATATTAGAAAACAATAGTGCTACTCATCCCAAAACTTATCCTGGAATTTCACATCCCAAGTGATATTTCACCATATGTGGCACTGACATTTAAATGACATGTCAATGCCACGTATGGTGACACATCACTTGGGATGTGAAATTGGGGTTGGGTGTTGGGATGAGTAGCATTACTCATTAGAAAAGGGAATTCTTTATCATATCATGGTCATTCAGCATCCTGCAAATAGGCAGGAAATAGTTTTTAATTATTGTGTCCATGTCCTTGTTAATTTAGTCAAGGGTTGCACATGTAATTTGCCAACTTGAAGGTGTAATTTTTCTGCATAATTGTAATTTTGTGGTGTATGATATGCTGTAGAGCAGTAAGCATGTCATAAATTATTTATGGAATACATAAATATTTTCAATTTAAGAGTTAATCTGCTGTCTGAGTTGTTTATCTTTTTGACCTGTGTTTGATGAAATTTTGGGTTACTAATGAAAGCCTGTGGCTAATTTGATAACAGGGGAAGCTGGGTGGACTCCTGATCAATGGGGTCATTCAAGATTTAGAACTTTAAGTGCTTCCACTGACATTGCATCATATCAAAAATTTTTAACTGTATTCATGCGCTCACTTTTGAAGGCAAGCTTCTAAATTTTTCAGTATTAGCTTTAACTAATGTTAGGATATTAGAAAAGCTTGGCCTTGACATGTTACAATGAATTTGCTTATGGGTGTAATTGCTCAAGTCAACTTAAACCTGTCATGAGATTAAAAGTTGAAATGCTTTCTTCGATGAATGTATTTCCCATATGCATGTCCTTAACAGTTGTGTTTCTGCTTACAAGTAACTAATCTTAGTTTTTATTAGATTGTTACATCTCATTAGAAAGGCTATTGGGTCTTAGATGATATGTTTACACGTTACTGCACCTAAAAGCCTTAAAATGAGGCATGATTCACCCAAAAGCCTTGAAATGAGGCATGGTTCACCCATGTTGCTTTTTTGATTAGTTATATGGGTCTTGAAGCAATCAAATTTACCCTTGCATGCTTATCAAAATCCTGGTGATATTATATGTAATATCATTAGAGCATTGAATCATAGGCTGACATATAAAACTATTATTCTGATTTTAGATTCTCAGAAGATTTGCTGATCCTGCGATTATTATAGAGTAAATGGTTAAAGACTAAATGTCACAATTCTTCTTTACAGTTTTTCGCTAGTTACTTTATTAGTTTATTAACTTCTATGTGAGCGTGTGATTTCTCTTATCCTTCCTGGATTCTTACCAAATAGATTTTGGTTTGTGCAGTCAATGCATGATCACGTCGATGCTTGGCCATTCAAGGATCCAGTTGATGCTCGCGATGTCCCTGATTATTATGAAATCATCAAAGATCCCATGGGTAAGAAGTTTTATTTTAACAATATCATCTTAAACATATTCTCCATGAAAAAAATTCTAGGAAGTTATGGCGATACTTCACCAACAGCTGATATATATGTATGATTGCATATTATCTCCGAATGGGAGGCCATTCAATTGCAAAGCTATTAGTCTTTGTGCCTTACATCTGATCTCACTGTACTGCAGATTTAAGGACGATGTCGAAGAGAGTGGAATCAGAACAATATTATGTCACATTTGAGATGTTTGTAGCTGATGTCAAGAGGATGTTTGCCAATGCACGCACTTATAACTCTCCCGATACCATTTACTACAAATGTGCAACAAGGCATGATTAATTGTTTCATCTTAAATTGTGCTTATTATTTGTTTATCTTCTCTCCCCTAATCTTTAACTTTGAAAAAGAAAATGCAGGCTTGAAGCACACTTTCAAAGCAAAGTTCAATCAGGTCTCCAATCCGGCACCAAAATTCAGTAGTAGACCAATACTGAGGGTTGGCTTCAGCTATCATATAACCAACATTGTGTAACATTAGTGATTTTAATATTTTTTATGTGCATTATTTTCCAGGTCAGCCCTCTTTTTTTCTTCTTTTTTCTCTTTCCTCATCTGTAATATAAATTTTTCTGGCCATTTTGATATGGAGTAAAATTTTACTGAATAAACAAGTGAAATGGATGGGTTTAGCGTTTGCAACAGATCTGGATATTATATCATTTCATCAAAACTGTGAGTACTGACATTATGACCCAGATAAAGAACTATATTTCTCTTTATGAAGTAGAATGAAGACAAAAATTGAGAACAGATTTGGAATGAAAAATAATAAAAAGATGTCATACTTCAATAACAAATATAAACCTACCGCTGTTCCACAAGATTACCTTTAATTTTAAGCCAATTCCTCATTGATGACAGATTTATTTAGGCCAAACTAAATCTAATTCTGCTTCTCAATGTTCTTACCAACACTTGCATGAGGAAGTCCAGAGTCCCAACCAGGCATGGCCCTGGACCCAGATGGATTGACCATATGAACAATCTGCTGGTGCACAAGCTCTCTGTTAACCATATGCGGCGAGGTGGATGCTTCAGCACTGTTTTTTCCACTGCTGTCATTTTGCAGATTTCCAACGGAACCTTGGGTGTTTTCTGGGATAACATGATCCAAATTATGGAGATTCGGGGTGCTAGTAGCAATACTTGGACCTGGTTGGTGAAAGAACTGGTTTGGGTTTAGTTGCATCGATAAGGTTGCATTTGTAGATGCTTCCACTAGACTGTCGATCAATGCAAATTTGGCATCATGCTTGGCTAAAAGCATTGGGTTCACCCCTGTCAATCTCTTCATTGTTTCTTCAGCCATTTTCACCTAAAAGAATTTGTATAGATATATGTAACTTTGGCCAATAAGAGGATAGCATCAAAATAGTGAACCTAGCAAGAAGTAACATAATCAGAAACTAGATTAAATATTTGCTGCAGCTTTGAGCACAAAATGCAAAAATGAGTTTCACACTCAGCCAACCAATTTGTGGTGGTTTCATTGGCATAAAGCATATATATTATTGTTGAGCACTTTCCTACTACTTAAGTAATGGAATTATGGTAACTCGACATAGTTTTGCCATAATATATTAATTTTAAGCCATATTCTATCAATTTGAACTTTTGGGTCCGGAAAAAAGTCAACAAGGTAACCACGATGCAAAGTGGAATTTGAATTCATTATTAAAAGAGAAAAATAACACATCAGTGTCCATTTTGTGAACTTATATGAGCTGAGCAATGACAATTATGATTAAAGTGCACAACAAAACACTATAGATAATTATCTAGTTTATTGATACTTTATGCAGCTAGCAGATTATGCAGTACCACACAATATAGAGCACATGAATAATACAGGGATGAGCATAACCTTTCTCTTTTATTTGACAACCAAATTAGTTTTCAAAGCATATACTTCATTCTGTAATCACAGCCAAAATGTTGGTCCAGACATTTGACTTAAATACACAAATTGCTCATATTATTCTGAACCTGCTAAATCACAACACTAACTAGCATCATGTTGGTCCAGACATTTGATGTAATTACACAAATTGCTCATATTATACAAAGCCAGCTAAATGACAACACTAACTAGCATCATAGAGGAAAAATTTTAACATTCCATGGAAATGCAACTCTATGTTGTATTTAAAGTACATTCAAAGAGAGTATTTTGCTTTCATGGGATTCAGAAAAAGTCTATCATAGTATGTCTAGGATTAATTTGTTGAAAAAATCATGAAATAATGTTATTTTAACATGTAAAAAGCATTTGAGATGAATATAACTGCATTTAAAGGCTCCACTCTACTAATGGAGTTCTCCTACAAATCTTCATAACTTTAAAATTAGATATGGATGTCACTTTCATAAAGTGTGTGGCTTCACATTCAAAAAGCATTTTATGTTTAAGTAAATGCAGAAAACAGTGTGAAAGTCTGAAAGATCAACCAGATATATATAGTAATTTACCACATTATGTATAAAATGAAAATTTAGCAAGATTATAATACCACAGCAACTTACCTTTACTCTCAATGTCTCAATGTCAGCTTTCAATATTCTATTGTCGACAGTAGCTTCTTCACATTTATGTTTCAGATCGGTCAGGCCTTTCAGTAAAGAAGAATTATCAACTCTCAATTGACCAGCCTGTAAGAGACAATATACATTACTTTACATTTCATCGAAAAAGAAAAAGGAGTGCACATCAAAGCATCAAAGAAAACATGGGGCAAAACCTGTGCTTCCAGTTCACTTAAATGGGCTTGCTTTCTTCTCCTAGAGCGTCTAGCTGACTCCCGATTTGACAGCATCCTGAGCCAACAACAATGTATCAATGACATTTTTTTCTTTGAGATTAGCAATAACATTTGAAGTTCCACATTTCACAACTTCTAATTTGTAGACATGGGAAATGATAAACAAATCAACCAATAAAGGAAAAAAAACATGCATATAATCAAAGCACATTAAGAACACTGATAGCATTCATAACCACTAAAACCGGAAGAAAATATGAGAAGCAAGTATGAAATTTTTATAACCTTCTAGCACGTTTGTCATCCAGAGGATCAGAACCCTCTGTATCTCCTTCAAGCTCATCATCATCTGAATCTTCTCTTGATGAGGCACTAACTGCTTGCCCGACTTGTACCCCTGATTTCCCTTGCATAGCAGGTAAGGGTGTAGTGCCAAGTGGCCCACCATCAGTCTTGTGTTGTGCCACTGATAAATCACGACCGGTAATTGCATTGAGTAAAAATCAGATGCAACACACTACATAAACACAAAGTGGACTACACCATGCAACATAAAACCAATGGCTGATCATAAAAATATTTAACTGGAAAGAAATTGCAATATGCGATGCTATTTCCAGCAATACCTGAAAAGAAAATATCATTTTATCTCAAATCATTAAAACTGAAGATGCAAAAATAATTTTTTATTGGAACATAGGGTATGAACATGACTGACAATTGTGTATAGACTCGACTTACAGATGCTGAACGATTTCAACAACTATTACATGACAACTAAGCTTTATGTCAGCATATCATAAATGTGTCATTTCTTCAAGAGAGCATTCATGAAATGTCCAACCCAGCTACATCCGAATAATTAGCTACATGTCATACATGACAGACCCAACAACATCCTAATATAAAGATATCTAATGTGAATTGAACTCAACTCAGCAAAGCTTGAATACCGGCCTACCCTATTTAGCTTCTAAGAGCTCTGATTAAAATTTGTCTAACATAATTTCAAAACCTATAAAAGCTACAACTACATTCACCAGTAAGTAAATTTGCCTCCGCTAATTCAAGCATTCTCAGAAGATAAAAGCATCAGAGATTAAATTTGAAAAATAACTAGTGGAAAAAGAATAAGGAGATATTTATAAATTTGTCCCTTATTGGAGTTTAAACTGCAATATTTACTAGACAATCAAATCACTTTCTCTGACATTACCAGGAGCTTGAGATCCCAACAGAGCCTGTCTTTGATTCTCAATTAAAGAAGATGAAGGTTTATCTTCTGGCTTCACAACCGACCCCTAAAAAGCACAATTTTTTTATAAATTTATCTTTCATTTCGTTGTGTTATGTATGCAAATGTGAAAAGAGAGAAGGAGAGATAGTTAAATTCTACCCTAAGAGCAACAGCAGCGCAAGCGAGATCGAGTTTGCTTTTGAGATAAGCTTGGTAATCATCATAATTAGCACATCGATCCAACGGTCCAGGAAGAGCCTGATCTTGATACGGGGGCGTCTTGATCTCCACCAAGTCATCATCACCGCCTTCCTCAGTTGTCAACACCGTCGATTGTGTCACCACCGAATTATCATTTCTGGACGCCCTCGATTGCGTCACCATAGAAGCATCAGTTCTCGACGCCGTCGATTGTGTCACCACAGAAGCTTCAGTTATCGACGGTGTTGATTGCGTCACCACGGAAGGAGCTACAACCGATGCCGCGGAAATCGAACCAGGCGAACCTGACACCTCAGCCAAAAACCTCTGGAGAGCCCACTCCGATAGGCTCCGGTTCATCGGCAACTCATTAAGCGGATCCGGAAACCGAGGCGGAGTCCCTCCCGGCGAGGACCAGAACGAGTCAGAGAAGTCGTCCGCAGAGAACACACTATTCATCGAACTTCCCATGAAATTTCCTTTTCTTTTTTTTATTTTTTATTTTTTCCTGCGGAAACTTGTTTGTTTGTTTGTGCGATAATGCGTATCTCTGCCGTGAGGCTCCTGCTTTTGTTATTTGTTAATGGGACCTCGACGACGTAGTTTCGTGAATCTTTGTCCACGCAAGCTGTTACAGTGACACGCACGCAAATAATATGGTCATTGTTGTTTTTTGACACGTGGCAGTGATAGTGAGATAGTTTATGGTGGATGGTGGGGCAGGGGATATTTCTTGATCGTTGTAAAGTTTACATTTAACTTAGACAGTTCATTGAATGAAAAGACCAGTCTAAGTCAGTCCACGTAGGTGGCCTTCGGGGGCAAAATTGTCAATTTTCATACCGGCGAATCTCGGCGGTGATATGATCATACAGCGTTTTGTCTCGTCCGAATACATATCAACTTTTAATTATGTCTTTTCCCGATAATTATTTATTAAAAGAATAATAATACATCAATAATCATATTTACAAACTTTCTTTTATAATTTGAGTTGATAATTTAAGTATAACAGTTTGCAATTATCAGTTAACAATTAATTAATAGGATTTATATGGAATTTATGTGAAATTTATTATGAATTAATTAATTAGAAACTATTACATTAAGAGTGTGAGAGAAAATTTATAAAAAATGATGGTAATATTATCCTTCTTAAATTATTAAATACATTGTCGAATTATAAAATTAATATAAAATATTTGATTATTAAATACATTGTCGAATCATAAAATTAATATAAAATATTTGAAATTAAATAATAGTTAGCTTTTAACTCTTAACAAGTCTTTTTGTTGTTTTTCACAGCTTACACTTCTCTAGCAACACACATGTTGGAATATAAAGCAGTGACACGTAAGCATATAATTTGTTCCTAGGTGCATTTTGAAACGTGGCAGTTAAGAATTGATTAATGAGATAGTTTATCGTGAACGCCGAACGGCTTCTTTCTGGTTGTGACGTTTAAGTGTGAGTAAGTCCGTGTCGATGGCTTCTTTTTCAAGGAAACGACAAGTCTGAGTAAGTACATGTTGGTGGCTTCTTTTTTAGATCGAAAGGCAAATGGTATATTTTGGAATGACCGTACAACGTTTTATCGTTCCACTCTAGATTACCTTTTTGAGTTTATTACGATTTTCACTTAAAATATTGTCAAAAACAATTTTTTCTTCAAATATAAAAATATGTGTTCGTCAACCAGAGAATCAACAAAGCAATTAGGCCACACCCAAAATGAGGGATGGCAACGGCCGATTTGGGGTGGACTGGAGGTCTCTCCCATTCCCTATCCCACTTTAGATTTTAGACTCATATTTGACCCCTTTTTCCGAATTATTCACTCCATTCCCATTCCCCTTTATTTTGTGAGTGGGCTGGGTACAATAATGCTACGGACACCAAAAAAATTGTACCGAAATCGTGTACCGGCCTACGTGTAACACGCCTCTCATTTTTTTTATAATTTTTTTCTAGTGAACGGCCGTCCATCAAATTTGGACTACCATTCACTCACATAGACGTCCGTCCATATTATATGGACGGGCGTCCATATACAAGGGACGGACGTCCCCATTTAAAGGATGCCCATCCATAAATAAATTAAAAAAATTAAAAATTTCACTTTAAATTACAGAAATCCTTCAAAATCACTTCCTCTCGCTAAACTGTTGGTTCGTTGGGGCAATCTCTCGAACATGTGGTGGGCAAGGTGCAGGGGAAAGGTCGTGAGTAGCCGCGGTAGGGAAAACGGCAAGGGGGTTAATCAATCAAACAAAAATCACTTCAAAACAATCCTCAACCTCAAAACACTCCAAATCTCCGTTCAATCAACTCGAACAATCACCATTCAGATTGCAACCAAGAAACCCAAAAAAAAAAAAAAAAAAAAAAAAAAAATTAGCAAACAGGCTTGCAACAAAAGCGAGGTGCAGTGGTCTTCGACAGGCAAGCATGCAAAATCGAGCATGGATCTTAGAAGAATTCCACTTTGAACGGCACAACACGACTCTTTCTATTTTTGCACTGGCATTGAGTTGTCTCTCTCCTCTTTCCATCGACAAACTCGACGTAGAATGCTTCGGTGGCCCAGCTTCTTCTATCAAGAGGCGACAACCCTACCCCTATAGCCACAGCATGGAATAGAAACTCTTAATCCGCACTAAAATCAATCCCAATTGTCTCCATATAATATATGTGATGCTAAACCAAGACTGAGATAGAGAAAAAGAGCTGTGTTGTGCGACGTGGACGAAATGGGAGGCAGAGGGCGGTGCGCTCATTCGCACGACAATTGCGAACGATTCGACTAGGTTAGACGTAGAAAAAAAGGGTGGTGGTGGCACACAACATTGACAGCAGCGAGATGGTTGGTTGCTAAGAAAGCGAAAAAGGGCAAGGAAGCCGCAATACACTGAATCAGAGGCAGCACTGGCAAAGAAGAAACACTAGCAAATTTGAGAAAATTTTTGTAAAAAATGAAAATGACATGAATTATGGGGGTTTAAGTGTCAAAATTGAAAACAATATGGGTACCGTGGGTCGGGTAGGGTTCAATATTTTAGACCTATTTAGAACCGATCCGTACCTATTAAACGTACCCGTGGATCCGATCATACCCAACCCACCCACCAATTTTGTCAGGTCTGGTGATAGGTAGACCTGGCAAAAGGGTTTAGACCGTGGATGACCTGTATCAGGTAAAAAATTAAGGTAAAGGTTTAGGCTTCGTTGGTTCAAGATGGGAATACTACTCTTAGTATTCCCAAAAAAGTTAAACAGTAAATACCCAAAAACTCTCGGCTTGTTTGGTTGGATTTTGGGAATACTACTTTTAGTATTCCCAAAAAAGTTAAACAGTAAAATACCCAAAAACTCATAAATTATTCAACTTTATTCAACATTTTTTAAACCCCCTAAATTTGTTAATTCAATTAATACCCCTAAATTTTTAATGTTTTGTCGGCGACTCTGGTGGGGGTGTTTTTGTTAACTTTTAATGTTTTATTATAAGGGGTGTTTTGTAAAAAAACAAACATAGGGGGTATTTTATAATTTGTAAATCCTACATCGTAATACCCGCCCAATTCAACTTTTTTTTTTAACTTTTTTCAAAAAACTTTTCCCAAAAACACAAAATTGTGAACCAAACGGAGCCCTCATTTTTGGGAATACTATTTTCAATATTATTCAATTTTTTTTAAACCCTCTAAATTTGTTAATTCAATTAAATACCCCTAAATATTTTTTTTAAAATTACAAAAACACCCCAACAATCCATATTTACCAGATTCCGGCTACCACTGTCGGAAAATGGCCGGAATCTGATAGGATGGCGCACTACCGGCTGAATCTGGCCAGTAGTGTGCCAATCTGGCCTTTTCCGGCCAGATCCACGGTGGATCTGGTCGGAAAAGGCCAGATCTAAGGCCAAAGATCTGGCCGTTGACGGCTAGATCTTTGGCCGTAACAGTAGGTCACGACGGCCAACAAACGGTCGTCGTTGATGGCAAACGGTTGATGGCAAACGGTCGTCGTTGACCATCAACGACGACCGTTTGTTGGCCGTCGTTGAGAGCAAATACGGCTAGATCTGGCCTTTGCCGGCCAGATCCACCGTGGATCTGGTCGAAAAAGGCCATATCGGCGCATGACCGGCAAGATCCAGTCGGTCATGCGCCGATAAGGCGACTCCGGCCACCTCCGGTGGTGGTGGCCGGCTGGGGGTGTTTGAGGGTGGGTTGGGGGTGTTTTTGTTAACTTTTAATGTTTTATTATATGGGGTATTTTGTAAAAAAAACAAACATAAGGGGTATTTTATTAATTTATAAATCCTACATCGTAATACCCGCCCAATTTAACTTTTTTTTTTAACTTTTATCAAAAAACTTTTCCCAAAACCCCCAAATTTTGAACCAAACGAAGTCTTAGTATTTTGGACCCGTACCCAACCCAACCCATATTTCATGCGGGTTAGACAGGTAAGCCCACGGGTGCCTATTTGTTATTTATATATTAAAAAAAAAACTGAATTAAAGTTTGAAAATTGAAATTCCTAATCCTAAAAGACTCACACTCATCTCGACTCTCCTCCCTCCCAAGCTCCAATATAGACACAACTCTCCTCTCTCACATCGTCGCCGTTGTTGTCGCCATCTCCTCTCTCACATCGTCACACCCTGACCGTCCTCCCTCCCACACAGATGCAACTCTCCTCTCTCACATCGTCACTTTTGTCGTTGACATTGCCTCTCTCACACTACCTGAGCAATGTTTCCCTCTTTAGTCTTTTGCTGATAATTCTTGTTTCCCTTTATGGAGGTTGGTTTACTTTGATGAATTTTGGGGTGTTTTGATGCTTGATTACTAGTTGACTCGTTTTGTTTCCGTCTTTGATGATTTTTGGGGTTGCTTTTTTGCTTAGTGTAGAGGTATACTGGTACGATGATAACATCTATAACATGAATGGATTAGATAGACATTATGAGTTCCACAGCAACAAAACAACAAACGGTTGATGGGCAACTTGAATATCTTGAAATATATGTAATTTTTTATTATTGTACTAAAGATTTTGCCTTGTAAAATTCAATTTGTTTTATGGTTTCAAGGGATCTTGGTAGAAAGCAGAGCTTGTTTGTCAGCTTGCTCTAGTGCTATTCTTTAACTTGCTCTAGGGTTGTTCTATTTGTTTTACTAAGCTGAAGAAGTAGCTTGTAAATATATCTGTGTTCCTCATATGTGATGGATGTTTGGTCCATGTTCATTGAACTTCTTCGTAGTCAGCTTTCACCACAGTTGGTCGATATTCTGATGTTAATACCATCATCATGATTTATCTCAGCAAGAAGAAGAAGCTCATGCCACACACTTGGAATATGATATTACTGCATTATTTCATGTTGTAAGTGTGAAGACTGAAACGGTGCCGTGTTACTTAAACCAATACGCTGTCATTTCAAGAATGAATCTGGACCATCAGTTTTCAAGAGATCCAACGGCTGAGTTCAGTCCATCCTGATCAACGACATATAAGCAAACTTTTCTCTTCAGTCTTGTGTATTATATTCGATTGATACTGTGTTAGGTTTGCTTTGCTAGGGTTCATCCTGTGTTCTGAAATCTTGATTCTGTGTAACTGGTTAAGTGATTGGGTAGTCATTCTAATTGAGGGGTTTTGTCTCTCGATGGGCTGGGATTCTGAGTGTTAGTTTCCTAGGCTGATAGTTACCAGATAGGGTGATTTTGGGTTTTTCTTGGATCTTTCGATCTTGTGTCTGTAATCTGTAAACTGATTAATAAATTAGTGCAGTGAGCTTCGTCCGTTTCCGGAGCTCAACGTAGACGTAGCCTTCCCAATCTTGGAAAGGTGAACCACGGTAAAATTGTGGTGTTCTTGATCTTTTGTGGATGTCTGTTTTATTGGTTATAATCTGTGTTTGAGAGAGTGTTATTACAACACGTGTAGTTCATAAACTGAAACCGCTATGCATTAGTCGTTTTCAGAAGCTAGGTGTTGTCCTCCAATGCTTTAGTCGCATAACAGAGCAAATTTTATGTTTATGCTAACTTTTAAAGTGGATTTTGTTGAAATTATTATGCTTTAATTAATTTTTTTTTTCCTTCTTATGCTTTGTAGAAACAACTGTGAAGCAAATCAAAGATGCATTTAAAGAGTTCTCATCCAGGGAGGATATTGCAATAGTGCTGATTAGCCAGTATGTAAGTTCTCACTTTATTCTGTATTGTTCTTTTTCAATTAATTGTCTATGAAATTAGCTTGTAGTCTTTTTCGCTCTTGTTTGGTATGCTGATTTAACTGATGCCCCTTGATGTTCAGGTTGCGAATATGATAAGGTTTTTGGTTGATAGCTACAACAAACCAATCCCTGCAATTTTGGAGATTCCTTCTAAGGATCATCCATATGATCCTGCGCACGATTCAGTTCTTTCACGAGTGAAACACCTTTTCTCTGCGGAATCTGTGGCATCTGGGAGACGCTAAGCAGAGGTATATATTCACTTGATGCTTCAGCATTTGATTCACCTTCCCTATTGTTCCTTATTTCTCTACTATTCAGGAATTTTCAATGCAATGGAATACAACTTGTAATGGTTTCTCTTTTAAATGGTATTAAAGAAACAGAGTGGCGCAACCCTATGGATATGCAAGAATTTGAATGTGATTTCGTAAATGTAAAAGATACTTGGATGGGATGCAGCAAATTTGAGTGTGTGGGTAATAAAATCAATTACAGAATGTTAGATTGATTTATATGAAAGTAGGCATTCATATTTTTTGTTTATGGGTAATTAATTAAGAGTGCATTTAGGATTTTTTGTGACTTAAGAATTAAGTGATCACAAGAAGGGTTGTTAATATTGTTGGTAATAAATGTAGGGCTTGCTCTATTTCGGAAGGCTTGTTTGGGGTTAGGAGACTAGTTGATGTGCGCGAAAGTTGGCTCGGATGTCCTCGGTAACAAAAAAAAAAAAAAAAAGAATTAAGTGATTAATTTCACTTATTATAACATAATTAGTAGAGTAAACGACTTTTTGCCACCCAAGGTTTGCCTTAATGACCTTTCCCACCCAAAAAGTTGCAAACTATCACTTTTCCACCCAAAGTTTATATTCTGTTAATACTCAAAATATATTTCACTTTCTTAGCCAGCGTTCGGTGAGTTACCAGGAGCCAAGATAAGAGGAGTTTTGTAGAGTGGAGGTCAGTGGATCGAATGGTGGTGATCGATTGAATATTCGCTGTCAGAATCAATCACAAATAAGATAAGAACAAGATACCCTAGATTTGCGGTGGTCGACAATTGGCAAGAAATCAGGTGTCGCAATGCAAGGGGTTTTATAAAGAAGAGACCGGAGGTTCAAATGATTGTTAAAGAGAGAATTTTTGCCATCAGAATCGGTCGGAATTGGCTTTAGGTATTAACGGAATATAAACTTTTGGTGAGAAAGTGGTATTTTTGAAACTTTTTGTGTGGTAAAAAGTTGTTTACTCTAATTAGTATTATAAAACTAATTAAAAAAGATTCTAAAAGCTGGCAGGGATGGTTCTTAAAAATTAAATTGTCTCTAAAACTGATTTTGTAGGTGTAAAATCTTAAATATACCCTTTTATGAGAATTTTATACACAAAATTAATTGATTAAATAAATTATTTTAAGATTTAAAAAAAAAATTAAACAAGATGTGATGAAAATTTTCAAAATATTCAAATTAAGGTTCGTCGATTGCGAAGCAAAATGTAAACCAAAAATTGAAATAGGAAATAACAGTTATGAAATATTAGTAATATATTACAAAAAAAAAAAAATACTATAAAATAGTTTTTATGTATCATGCACCTTGAAATCTATTTTTTAACAAAAAATAAATAAAATCAAGATATGATATAAGGAGCCAAGTTTCTAACAAACTATGAGAAAGAAAAGGAAAAATACTTTCTGATACTTATAATTTATATCTGTATATTTGAATGCTTATATTCAATTAAATATCTTTTAATTAATTCATTTCAGCTTCATATTGATATAAAAATTTTTCCATAATGAAATATAAAATAATGAGTCCAAAATGAAGAGTACATTATATCTTTAATAATTTAAAACTTGGGGTGGTTAATTTTAAGAAAATATATTAAAATTTCTATTTATATAACTTTTAGTATGATAATTTATGAAGAGAAAACTACTCAAAAAGACTCCTTTGCTTTAGACAAGTTTCAATATGACATTTTTTTAATTGGTTTAGTAGATAAAATCTTTCATCTAATTTTTGTTCCATTTTTATCCCTCCACAGCTTTCTTGTCTTCACTCTAGCCATTTTACTGCTAAACTGACTCTAGCGAAACATGAGTGCATGAAAATTTGAAGATCTTATTCTTAGGGTTATGGTTTTTAAAAGTTTCCTCTGTTGTAATGTCAATCCTGGCCAGAAGCTAAGAACGATGCTTATAAATAAAGAAGACTTCCACAAGCTGGCATGGTTATGCATTCTCTTTTCTCCAATTAAAGTTCCAAGGACATATATTTCAACATTTCTGCATTATTAATAACAGCCGTCTGCCATTGTTTCCACAAAATTTTTAAATATACAGTCAAGTCTTGTAATCAAACAGGGTAATGGAAGGACAGAGTATAGAAATTGAGTGGTCACTTTGGGCATAGACTAGTCAAGTCAACCCAAACTCTTTGCACTAATAAATTAACTCAAACTAAAAGAAGTAGAAGACGTCGTAATTAAAGGAATACTAAAAATTTAGAAGTAAATGGTTGTAGTAGTATCATATATTCATGAACGCTTGCGAATAACAGATATATAGTGTACAAATATTTTGCCCATTTCAAGCAACAATCAGTCGTTACGTTTGGCATTTAAAGGCCAGACAAGTATCTACAGCAATGGCTTCGTCAAAATTGCTATTAATCTTCTGTTCCATTCAAGGACGTAGTCACGATTCTAAGTCAATGGTTCAAAACATCAAAGTTGATAAATTTACAATAAAATATATACTGAAGTAATAAGCATAAACAATATACTTTTAAAAATTATATATACCAAATTATCAATTCTACAATTATCCCCGACGATTTTTCATATTCTGAAAATGTTGCATAATTGCTTCATTGACAATTCCATCAAATATCTCTCTCTCAATATATGTAATAAGATAATCACTTAACAATTGATCTTCCATTCGAATCCGTAATCGATTTTTCACAATCTTCATCGTAGAAAATACTCTTTCAATACTTGCAGTTGAAACAGGTAATATCAACATGTAATGATCTTTAGAAGTTTTAACTTGTTGTGCATTAATACGCCTAGCGGAAAATATTCTTAATTTACATAATGACAACAAAAGATTTTGTTTTGTTGCAAATAGAGATTTGACAAAGCCATAAATAATTTTCTATGCATTCATCTATCTATTAGAAAGTTGTTTGAACTCAATATTCCTTTACTAATAAAATTGTATTAAGGGTATTCGCAGGAAAGGAGAGTAACCTGTCTCAAACTGTTGTCGACGGTGCAGTTCCATTGTTGATTTTGCAATATTTGTCATCTACGTCAGCAATTTTTTTGGAGTAAACAAAGCTATATCAATTCATTTACACCTTATATGCAGAACGTTGTGTTGTATTGTTAGAGTAGAGAAAATATTTATTTAAATAAGATGAAATATCGATGTAGTTATTATAAAATCTTGAAACAACTAGAGATACCCGATTGACTTTGATAGAATCAAATAGGATGGCCGCATGATTATAAATAATCAACAAAAAAGATAGTTAAGCTAATAAAGCTAAATGCAAAAAAGACTTCTAAAGTGGTTCGGTGAGCTAAACTCTTAATGCCTACATCCATTATTTCTCTTATTAATGTACTTGATTATAAAAATAATCTCTCTCACTTTCTAATTTTGCTAACTCCTTTACAATGACTTTGAGGGAGTTTATATAGTGCTTGTATGGGCCAAAAATCATACTAGGCCTCGTTAGGCCCAATAACGAAAGACATACTAAATACAGCCTAGTGCCTTATGTAACGACCCGATTGCTTCCCTTCGGACTCGTTCGGCCTTAGGTGCTAATCTCTCGACGATTGCCCTAAGTCAGCCTTGCTTGCTCATACTCCTAGCCCTGCAAGTAAGAAAACACTCACACAAACTCACAAGAGATGCTAGAAGAGAACTCTTTACTAATTGAGAGAACTTTGCAATTCTTGGATGGTTTGGCCAAATGAAGGCCTCCCCCTTTTATAGTAGTTGGAGTTTACAATGGACGGTCTAGATCTCCCGAAATCAACAGTGGAGATTAGCTAACTCCAAACTACCACCTACCAACTACTATCTACCAACTACCACATTAATTACAATATTCTAGCATATACAAGAGTATTCCGGAAGCTTCTAGAATGTCTGGGTGACGCACACCAAGTGTTCGATGAAATGCTTGAGAGGCGTCACATTCTCCCCCACCTAATCCGGAGACGTCCTCGTCGACTCTTCGTGGAATCCTTGGACCTTGTCTTTGAATTGCCACAATGCATCTTCGGGTTCCCAACTAGCTTCACTCTTTGGTAGCCCCTTCCACTTGACAAAGTATTCTCGACTTGGAGAGTGGCCCTTTTGTCGAATGACCCGATCGGCTAACACACACTCCACCTCTTTGTCATAGAACTTGGTGTTGCCAAATGGTGCTCGTTTTGATTCTCCCTTTTTCGGATCTTCCGCGTCTTCGTGGTATGGTTTCAAACAACTCACATGGAAGACCGGATGAAGTCTCAACCAAGAGGGTAACTCAAGCTTGTAGGATACATTACCGACCCTCTTGATGATGGGAAATAGCCCTTCATATCTTTGGACAAGGGCTTTATGTAGCGGCCAGGTGGACTTGTGTGGTGATGGGAGGATTTTGACAAGTACTAGATCTCCCACATTGTACTCCACATGCCTTTGTTTCTTATCCGCCCACTTCTTCATTTTCTTGGTTGCTTTGTCAAGGTATGCCCGTGTGATGTCGGCTTGCTCGTGCCATGACTTAGCAACTTTGAATGCCGCAGGGCTGCTCCCCTTATAATTTTCACCCAAAGTGTGCGGCATAAGCGGCTGTTGGCCCATCACCATTTCAAATGGGCCCTTGTTGGTGGCTTCACTCCTCTGCAAGTTGTATGAAAATTGGGCTACATCGATCAACTTTGCCCAATCAAGTTGGTTGGTGCTCACAAAGTGCCGTAGATAAATCTCTAGCAAAGCATTCACTATCTCAGTTTGCCCATCAGTTTGAGGGTGAAAACTTGTGGAAAAGTGTAATGTCGACCCCATCAGTTTAAACAACTCGGTCCAAAATCTCCCGATGAACTGACTGTCCCGATCGCTGATGATAGACTTCAGAAGACCCCAATACTTCACCACATGCTTGAAAAAGAGCTTGGCCGTGTCTTCCGCTGTACGTTCCTTTGGTGCAGGGATGAAGGTAGCATAC